ACAAGGTTTAAGATATTACTTTGGTCGGTTGCAGTGAGCCCACTGCTTGACAGAATCTCCCGAACAGAAGTTAACCCAATGCCGGAGCCAACCCGGTCCCCGCTGTTCAAAATCAGGTCATATGCGTCAATGTAGCTCTCGGGTACGTCCGTATTGGGAAGCAATGTCCGAGCTAAATCGCGCCGGGCAGTTCTCTTCGCGGTGTTATTTTGGGCGTTCCAAGGAGAGGAGCTGTCGTCGCCGTCGTCATCAGCGAACAGCGAGGAGCCGCCCGTAGCCGGTTCGTCAGCAAACAGCGAAGACTTGACTCGGGTAGAATCACCCGCAGGGTGATCCTCTGGGGATGTGCCGAATAAGGACATCGGGAAACCGACGGGTGATGTTGGCGCCGGGAGAGCTGTCGGGGAGGGAGCAGGCTGTGGAGGTGATGGCAATGACGATGTTGAAGATAAAAGCGGAGCTACCGAGGGGGGCTGGTTGAACATACGGGCACCGCTTTCCACCTCAACAAAACAACCCTGGAGACACTTCAATTTTCCAGAATATGAGACGCAAGTCAAAATGCAGTAACATTTCAGGTTCATGGAGGTGAGAGAGATGACAGCATTCAATGCCACTGGAACCACTCCCAACCAGGCTAGTTAGGCCAAACGACCTGTGACAGCTACAACAATAACTCAGGGCTACATCCTCCGTATAGAAACTACACTTGTTACCCTTGTTCTCAAGTTCGGAGCTGGTCCATATCATTGGCGGACAGGCTTCTAAAGCAGAGGGCCATTACGTGCATCCCACTCTCCATCGTACCCTCCAACCCACCACAAGTATTGTCTGAGCCGTTTGGATCCATTCTCGAGGTCTACTTTTACCCATATGCTGAATGGGAACAAAGATTGAGGTTGACGCAACCTTTCGCTATGCGTAAACTGGAAGTCTCTTCGTCGAGGACCCCTACGTCAGCCGCTAGGCGCAAACAATCCTCAAGCACGCGGTTGGCATGCTACATTTAACTTCAAATTGCACTTGCTTGATCATCAAGGCAAAAGAGATATGAGCACCTGAGTGTATCATGAGAATGTCACTGATCTATACCAGCTAGACACGTCTATTGATGAAACATACCCGAAAATGAACAACACCGCCTCAAACTGAGCCGGTGCTGACGACAGGATCGTTGAGTTTAGTAGTAGTGGTCTGATAAAGTCACACAGAAATTCGAATGGCTTGCTTTGAAGAGCAGTCCGTGGTAGCGGGGTTGAGGTGAATGAAAGTTATCGCAATCTTGACCTCTTTCTTATTAAACGCACGTGCTACTTCAACCTCGTCTATGTAGCAAGCGCTGGATCTTTTGGGTATGAAGTCTAATATTTTTGATGATGGTCAAAGCCGTGAATGAGTTTCAAAAAATCCGAAACACCAGTTGTGTACATCGCTACTTAGGGCTTTATCGTAAGCGGTCAAAGACGAGCCATGATCACCATCTTACCTGAGCTGTATAAGAGAGCTGGTCTCTGAGCATCAAGTTGGTTCAAGGGGCGAACATTGAGCATGGCACACATTCTCTTATCCATGATACCCAAGGCCAATACGGACCGGTCCTACTATCTAATCGCAGATGCCTTGCTTTGCCGATGAATGCCTACTAGGAAAGAGAGCCTGCAATTCCCCTCGGCCGCTCTTTTCATCACCACCAAGAACGCCTGTAGTGTAACCGAAGTGATTGCCACACACTGAGATAGACTTCTCGCCAATCAACCCATAGTCATTACTGAAGGATAGATCAATCAAAGGAATGGCTGACGAACTCAGTGATGAACGGGTATCAAGCTATGAATGTGCTTTCGAACAATAATCTGCTGCCAAGTGGACTGGACTAAAAGCTTCCCACTGTATGGCGTAGGGCTCGGTTGCGAAATGTATGGTATATCTACACCGCCGAGTAGATCAGAATCGCCGGGCTATAGAACGAACACAATGTGTGGTGACGGTTACTGTGTCGTGAGTTATGGCGAAGGATTATTGAATGAATACCACGGTCAGGAAATCGCCCCTTGAACCTACTATGTAGTGATGATACCATTCTCAGAGCTTGGGTTTCTTTCTTCTTCATTCGTAGCAGAAAGGCAAGACCTTGCAGCCATGTAACAAAAAAACCGGCCATCATTAAAAGACCAAAGCCTGGGCTATCGAGGAGCTTTTTAGAAACAGGAGCAAAATCAGGTAGAAGCAGGAAAGTGGGAGCAATGTCTTTCAGTATCTGCCGTTGTCTCAACGCTTTGCTCCTCCATACGGACGAAGTTGATCTTCGATTCACGGAAGTCATTTATGGAGAGATTTTGGTCGCCGAGGTGAGCATTTGGGTCAAGATACCAAATGTTGCTTGACTCATATACTCGGAATCACAAGCCATTGTAACTACTTGTCTCCACTGGAAGTGTTAGTATATGACCACCCAGTCAACTCACATGATTTGAAGAAGCTCACCTGGGAATTGGTGTTGACCTTTCCAAATCAGAAATTGCCCTTGTCAGCTGATACCCCATAAACTGTACAATCGTTCTTCTTCTCTTCCTGATGCCCCACGGCAGTAAGCGGCAGTGACGTACTTGAGAATACAAATGAGTAAAGCTTGATGATTTACGAAAAAAAGACGGACAAGTTACGAGGAGAAGGAGGATTGTTCTAGGGCCCTGCTACTAAGGAAGCCATGTACATGTACGGTTGGTACCTTCCAAATTTGAAACGTCTAACAAGAGGGTCCGAATCCTCTATCGGCCAGAACAGTTGGCTACAACTGAAATCTGTCTCTGTGGACACCCCGCGAGAATCATACAGCTGCTCGTTGCTCAGGGAGATACAGTTAACGTCGATCAAGCAATTGCAGAGATATAAACCGGAGGAAAAACAGTCTACAACTCAAAAAGAAAAGAGAAGTTCGAAGCCTTCTGCAGAAGTTGCCGATGTGTCGCCAAAATCGCAAGATGAGACCGCGAGTTCGAAATAGACGCCTGCGTTGGATAAGGCAACGTCAGGGGCTGAAGCCTGATGTGCTCCTCGCGAGAAGCCTGTTTTCCCTAGGTGATCTAGATCAAGTCCAAATGCACAATTGTCAAAATATCACCGTATAGGTCAAGATGACTCGAATCCGAAATCTTACAACACAACGCCTCAAAGAATCATAGAATACCGCCGCTTTCTTAACCACCTTTAACGAAGTCCATATCTCCCGGTTCATAGAACGCCGAAAGAACAACAAAGAGGCAGGCATGGAAAAGCATGGCCTGAACTTGGATTCGCGGGCTTCATGGCTCGCGCATCTGCGTTGGCTCTGAAAGAGATTCCCGCCTGAAATTTCTCCATCGGAAACGATGATACCATCGTGTATAGGGACTCAGTCGACCTCAGCGTTGCTGCATCTGTCTTGAAGGGATGGTGAAGAAGGCCAGTACATTGTCTTGTCCCTTGAGAGCAGCCGCTAATAGATGAGTTCTCTCCAGGCTCGGGATGGCAAGCTGACTATGGATGGTATGACCGGAAGCTTCACAATTTGCAAGAATGGAGTCTGGGTATTTCTTTTCTGGACTCCGATGATCAATCTACCACAGACAGCGGGCAGTGCTGGGGACTCCAACCATAGATCGGACAGGGCGATACAAGAATATAAGGTCCTAAACAGATGCTAATTCTGACACCACATTGGCATATTCAACATAAACAATCTACTACAACGTTAATCATCGGATGCACACTGGGAATCGTGTGTTTCAACACTCACCACTACATTGAGAACTTTATCTAGCCCAATGCCCGATGTCTTCAGGATAGCCTCAGTATTCTTGATCATAGCTTGTGTTTGCTCCGTCATTGTGCTTTTGATCAATTCCCTCTGTGCATATTTGACCGAAGGGCTAGACTTGGCTAGCGGCTTTCACGCTGGTGACTGCGAGCTTATCAAACAATCGCTTCTCTTTCATTCTGGATTATAGATACATAATGCGTGAACTCAAAGAGAATATAAGTCGTAGAGTACTTGGGATTTTACACAGGAAACCTACGTGCATATGCCTCGTCCGTCTGCACGCTGGTTATCATAACGTACTTCGGCGCACTAGACGATCTAGTTCGGATTCGAGTAGTAGGGCATCGGGTGAGATGTTCCAACGATAGTTGAGTTCTGCCAAGAGTAGCGCGTATGTTTCAGCTGAACGTAATTAAGAATGAAGAAGCAATGGTGGTCTTGTTCGAGGTTAAGGTTGAGGTCGACCCCTCCGTCAAGACCTCGTGAAGATGCTGGAGCTAGATTCCGATAATCGGAGGAAGCACCGGCCTTGTTTCGGCATCTCCAAAGAGATGTCAAGTCGATCAGGACGAGCATCACGACCAAATCAACTCTTGTCAATCTACCAAATCCGTTATTTGATCCAAGATGATTCGTACAAGACTTTCTGGCCGCGTAACATCCCACCAGAATGTCAAGCTTTTCTCACACGCCGGCCAGAGTCCAACATGAATACAGGACTTGGAATTTTACTGCAATTCTGTAACTGCCGCGGCGGGAAAAAAAACTACCGAATCGTCCAAGATAATGGCAAATTTGACGAGATTCAAGCCAAACGCCAAGATTCTGATCATTCTAGGCCCATCGAAGTAACGAAATTCCCCAATCCCAGCCGGGAGTATAGGTAAGGAGCACCTGACAACGGAGCCAGCCTGGCGCAGAACATCATGAAATCGACCCCTACGCGTCAGATCGCCTGATGATCAACAACTACCGCCTCCTCGTTTCGGGGATTGCGCCTCGACCCGGTGGGGGGATTCTTAAACACCGTCAATTCCAAGGGCAAAAAGGACCTCTCTCCATTCAGTTATTTCCAAGTGATCGATCACGATCCTCTCAATGTTCATTGTGGGATTCTTGTCTAGACCCGGTCGGGTCAAAGATACATACTGTAACCTCCGAGAGATTGGGGGGGGGGGTGATCAACACAGTTTCGGAGAACATGATCGAGGCAGTGAATGCACCTTATCTTGATGCTCCGTACAGCGGGTCAGAATGGGATGCATCTGTTCTGCACGAGGCACCGTCAAGTACCGTGAAGTTATCCCGCGTCGCCGAGTCGGTGTTCAACATCGAAGGAAAGGTGATTGATATCAAGGAGTTCACAGATTACCAGCACCCTGGGATGAGCCTCGCTGCGACTGTTCTCACCAAGGCTACCCAGTTCTGGATCAAGGAAGGCACTGCCAATAAGGATTATAGTCAGATTGACTTGTCGAAGTTGCGGCCGGGTTGGTCAACTTGGGGGCGTCTCTTATGGTCGGATTGGGCCAACGTTGGAGCAACCGCGCAAGACATGGAGTGACGAGGTGCGTGAGAGTGGGATCTTGACTACGCCAGATGCTGCTAAACCTGTTGTTAAAACATGAGAATGTTATATGCAAAAGAGGAACCCCGTCATGCCTGAGCTGCCATGTTGCCTTGTTTCTCAGGTGGCAACGTCGTATGTGAACAGTCCCTGGAGAACTTGGACAGAATCGATAATTTCCTGCAGAAATGAAACCAAACCCACCCAGTCTTCAAGATGAAGATTCAAATCCGATCCAATGAAGCATTCGAGGCCAATCACAAGATAGGGGAACTGACAAACCCTGAAACGGCTATTGTTCAGGCAGATCCTGGGAGACACCATATAACATGCAGATCTTCTATATAAATGTACACATGTTATAGTATCAAGTATCGTGAAAGAACTCAAGTTCAAACATAGAATGAGGAACGTAACCCCATATTTTAACCAGAGACTCGACACAAGCCACCCCCTTTTCGTCTGAACACCGGGACGAATCAACAACTTCAATTCTGTACGGAGAACTCCGCACATCGAACGAGGGTAATAAGAGGCGATAAGTCCGGATTACAGCTCGTTTGTGCCGTTTCTATTTTCCTCTCTGAGACATTCCGTTATTCGCGCCCTCAGTGATTTCTCCCACACATTCCCTTGTATCCTCTCCTTCTGATCTGAGAATCCTTTCACTCCTTTTATTTCCGGTTCTCATCAAATTCACTCGTTTCAACACCATAACGGACATCCATCATGCTCCCCCCACTCCTTACCATCTTCCGCCGCGACTGCGATGGCGATGAAACCAAGTCCAGCTGCACAAAGCCCACCAGCTCAGCAGTGACGGTCGGCATTCCCGCCGTGATATCAGGGGTGTACGTACTACCTGCCTCGCCTTTTTCCGACATCGATACAGATCCAACAATCAACCCCCGACCCCCAACCCCCCCCCCCTCCCCCCCAAACCTGCCCATGGCAGAACTAACTATACCCCAGTATCATCATAACCGCCATTATCGTCCTGATAGTCCTCTACCACAAGGGCATGCGTCGCGATGACCGCGAAGACCTAGAAGAACAACGACGCAAGTCGGGCTTCTATGCTCGCTACGATGCACAGCAAAATATCGCTGGGAAAGCACGACCATCGAAGGGACAACCCCATGCTTCCCAGTCACGGCGCAGCTCTGCCGATTCGATATTTGATTTCAAGCAGGATCAAGGACGCTATCATATTGCTCCGCTCCCGAGTCCCGAGCCGCCGAAGCCTGCGGCTACTAGGGTTCTTGCCTAGTAAATGCGGGGTTTAAAATGGCTTTTGGTTGTACGTTTTGATGCTTCGGTGTTTTAAAAATCAGGCTAGTTTCGAGTACTGACCATTAATAGGTTCCTGCAGGTCGGGACGGTTTCTCTTCGATTTGCGGCACTTCAAATTTTCTTCTTCTAGGCTGGTTCCCGAGTTTCTTATTCTCTTCAGTGTTTCTTTATGGGTTTCAAGCGATCTGAGCCATAGCACAATAGCGAATCATAATTTTTTACCACTTTTGCCCAACTTCCACCCCGCAGATTTAACGGTGTACATGATTGCCTGTGACATCAGTTTCTGTGTTCGAAAGCGACAACGGGTATGATGAGCAAAGATTAAATAGTACAGACATAAAAAATTCTGAAACAGGTAGCTATATCATTGAGATCGTTGTCATTAAGAATACATTGGAGCATGCGCGAGACACGAGACCAATCACTCGACATGCTCCAGGACCTGGTCATCTAAACCCATGTCATTGCGCTCAGGGGATGCCTCGATGATAGGTTGCACGTGGAAATATCCCATCTGGAACAAGACATGCTGCCACTCTGGACCAGCGGTGCTTTGCACTTTGTAGTAAGGCGTATCTAGAGCGAACCACCTCTCCTTGCGCGTTGAGGCTTTGTCACCTCCCTCCAGGGCCGCGCGACTAGCGCGTGTCGTGCGTGAACGCTTGTCGCCGCCCCCGTACTCCTGCGCTGTAAGCGCAAACAACCGCTCGCGGTATTGCTGACGGCGACCATCAAAGACCATGATGGCACGGATGTACGGGGCCAAGTCTTCCGTGATTGGTGCGAGTCCATTCTCAAATGAAGGGGCGTGGCGGGCGGTTGGTGTGGGGGTTGAGTAGTTCGCACGCATAATGGGTTCAAAGATGCGCTGGAATTGAGGCAGAGTGGATGGAGCGGTTTGCGAGGGCACTGCAGAGACGATGGCTTTGCTCAAGGCTCGGCTCGCGTATAAAGATTCCAAGTCCTCGGCATTTGTGGGACGGAAAGTCCTGCTTATCAACGCATCAAAGGCGGCGCTGACAGTTTCACTGAGTGATGAAAACTCTGTTCGCAGCTCTGTATGCAGGAGTGGGTAGTTGTCAAGATAGTTGGATCTATAGCCTTCTGGTGGCGGCGGGGCGGATATGTCAACAGCATCCTGGTCAAGTGTTAGCTGAGGTTTCTATAGAGGAATCGATCACACTTGCATTACTCGTGTCCATGGAAAGGTTAGAGCAAAGGATGTCGAGAGAACTTCTCATGTCATAGTAATCCGCTTCCCGGCACAACAAATCAAGTTGCGCTGTCTTGGGAGTAGACTGAAGTTGATCAGAGGGTAGAAGTTCAACTACATTCTTCCCAGCCATGTCTTCGGAATCTTGCAGGCCGAGACCCCACCATTGAAAGCTGTTGCGGATAAACTCCGTCTCTTCATCCAACGAGCCTTGGGTCACAATCATATCACGATTAAAATAGCCCATATATCGTTCGTACGTGTTGAGGCTCAGAACCCGAAGTCGGTCCCCATCATGATCCACATTTGATCCAGGGGGCCAACTGGGAAGCAGCCAATCCAAGCCCGCTTTCTCACTGCCAACACCCATCTGACACCAGAAGTTCAGATCCATCAATGACTTCCGAAGATCCATTCCTGATCCTTGATAGAGTCTGGTGACGGCTTCTCTCTTCAAAATATGTCCCTCGTTGGCGGCAACCAAAAGCAAGTAATCGATGCTGAAGTCTTGAGCAGGCCTGTGATATCGTAGTATGGCATGAAGAGACATGTCTTGGGTAGGGATTAAATTCTCATCGTTGCAGGTGATGACAATCGGTCGTTTAGATTGGCCGATGAGAGTTAAAACACCGGTCCAGAATTGTCGGTCTTCATCAAAAAGAATATCGGCTTCCTCGAGCAGGATCAAAGACTGCTTTTGCTCACGGGGGCGTTTGGGCGTAGTTTCAGGCTTCGGACATGGTTCGCCAGACTGGGGGATCAGCTTGCTAGCTTTTGAGGGTGGGCCTTTGAAAAAGCCCTTTAGCTTGTTTTGCTTGACAGAGTCTTTGCCGTTGTTTGTTGCATCCTCGGATTCGTTGAGGAGGTGAACAAGATGATTTTGCGTCATATCTCCGACTCGCTCAAGCATGTCTCGGGCACTTCGTCGGCTCCCGGCATTTATCTCAAAGACTTCGAAATCAAGCTCCTTTGCAACGGCATAGACAGAGGCGGTTTTCCCGGAGCCAGTTGGGCCACTGAGAAGTATTACATTGGTCATTGGACTCTTTCTTTCTACTCCGCGTAAACCAGATGCTATGTCACCCGACCTGACGACTGTCCGTTGAGGTGTTGTGGTTACACCGCACGCTAGCTCATCGTCTGAGCCAGAGAGTGTGTCCATTTCAGAAGCCTCCTCTTCGCTTGACACAACGAAACCGTCGAGTTTGTCGGCTTTTGGGCGCTTTTTCGCCTTTTTCTCCCGCTTTGATTTCAAGGTCGCAGTCCCCTTGGATGGTTTTCCGGTGTCAACTGCTGTGATCTTGAGATGTCGTAGCCAGTCTCGAAGCATCTGTGGTTCGCGGCCAAGTTGAAGGATATCTTCGGCTGATTGTGGGGCGTACTTGTGTGTCCAAAGCTGCGGTTCGTAGGTTGCGCAATCAAAAGCCGAAACTGATGTGAGTAGAGCCGATCGAAGTCTGGCAAGGGGGGGACTAGAAGAGTTCCAAGGGAATCGGCGGTTTGGTGAGGACCACGACATCTGTCTTTCCATTGCCGTATGCAAAACTTGACTGCTGGCAACATGTCGTACGGGATGCCGAAGAATACCTAGAGAGTCGTAGTCCGGTTTGGGCAGGCGGGCGATCCTCCTTGCTTCAGCTGTTCCGGCTAGAAGGACGTTTTCATCGTCTCGGACTGAGACAGCTGCGATTTTCGATTTTTTTCGGTCCTGGGTAGTATGCCAGACACGACCATTAACATCTGGGGTTGGGTGAATGTCTCTGACATGCACAAACTCAAGAGGTGGCCAAAGAGGATCAAGCAGTTCTGGAAACTTGGGGACACGGCGGGGGAAGCTAGCAAACGAACTGCCCGAAGCAGCTACTGTCCGCTTCTTATCCGGGGCTCCAGCTGTGGTTTGGCTTGAAGGCACACTCGCGCTGGAATTTGGATTGTCCGATTGAGATCCATTCAAGCTCTTGGGCCCAGGGATCTGTGCTGATTTCTTGCTAAAGAATGGGTGTGTGGGCTTTCGAATTTCGTTTTTCGTCTTGCACGACTGAACAGAAGTTACAGTAGCAGGCGGTTTTTGAACCGCTCGGCCATATAAGATATCGTTGATCAACTTCCCGATATTCTTTTCTGTGTCAACGCTATACTTGATCGACACCACCTTGCGCTCAGCCTTTCGCGGCCTCCCCCGTTTCCCTGTCGCTCTCTTTTTTGTCTCTCGGGGAGGACTGGAGGCAGGTGACGACAGGAAGCCTCCTTTAGAATTCAATCTGAGAATTTTCTGTCTTGCAGAGGTTCTGGCAACTTGCGTCTCTGGTTTCTCGTTCTCGGCAGGTGTCATTAGCTGGGTTTCATCTGCAGGAAGGTGAGTCTCCGCCAGCGGAGCTTCGGGGTGAGGTAAAGAAAAATTGATTTCATCCTCGATAGAATTGATTGGCAAAGGAGTACTATTGGCCAGGTTGTGACTGAGCCATTCTGAGAGACGTGCACCCGAGGTGGCAGTGGGTTCGATGCTTTGCGTTTTGTCTGTCCTTCGCTTCTTCCTCCGATCCTCATTTAGGTCTTCTTCGAGATCCACCGAAGTCTCATTATTTGTTTTGGAAACATTTGAAGTGTGATTATCTTGGTCCTGGACCCCCTGCTCATGCGTAGAGAATTCGCTGCCTATCGATCGAAGATCATGTGCGTGGGTGTTTGCAAGCGAGATTGGGTCATTCAAGGCTTTGGATTTGACAGAGACACCAAATTCTAGAGATAGTAAGCTCAAATTCACCTGCGGCTATGGGACACATTCTGACCTTGTCGGAAGAAGGGATGTATAACTTGCTGTTCGTCAGTTCCCATAGCCATCGGTAAATGAACAATCAGTTGATCCCTGAGAAGAGACCAGGGAACAAACAATAACTCAGATATAGCATTGAAATGACAGAGTATTCGTGGTAAGTGTGGAGTGATTACGTGAAGCAAGAATTAAGTCGAGGTCGATCTCTATTACTTCAAACACGTCCTGACGCGAAAGGCGCGTTAATTGCTTATGTCACGCTGACTGCTTTGCGGACCAACGCTAGCCCTGATACGGCCTAGAAGTGGATATGTCGGCCCGACATAATCCCGAAAATTTTTCAGATTTCCAAATCGGATGGGTCTGCATCAAAAAGATCACACGCTTTGAGGGACAGGAACTCGAGCCATTTTTTATTCCTGGTATTCAGTTCGTCATGGATTTGCAATCTCCATCTGTCCTGGCGCAATTGCCTCGCCCCCTTCATGCTTCTACTGGCAAAACCCGCATCGGCGATGTCTTCAGTCTCGCCGATGCGAAAAAACGCAAGCGCTATGGAGTCGCAGTTGCTGTAGATGGTGAGGCTGTCAACATTTACAATGTATGTTTTCTACTTCTCTTGTGTTCGTTTGATTGCTTCTAAGTCTAATTTCCATCAGGTTCAAACACCCAAGCTTGTGACTTCCTATGCCGTTCCACCGCAATCTACTTTCTCTTGCCGCCCATGTTCAGTTCGCCGGAAGTTGTCGAACAAATCAACCGTCCGAAGACAAACTTATACTGCTGTCACTAAGCCAGAACATCAAATCAAGTGCTTTGTGGAGGAGATCGGCAGCAGCGGCTCAAGTGCTCCGGTCATTTCGTCTTCAACTACCACCGTGACCGACTCGACCAGCCCTACAACATTTGTGGGCATCGTGCCCTCTAGTACCGATGCTGAAGGAGAGATGGACCCGTTCGATATTCTGGCAGTCCACGAGGATGGTCGTGTGCGTAGGCTGTCATCGGATCTGAAGACCCAACGATGGAGCATTAAGCACAGTGAGATTGCAAAGGTTTGCTCTACTCACACTGTTCAATCCAGCTTTTTGGTTGAATTCGATGATGCGAAGAAGGCTTTGTTCAAAAGACGACAGGATTTGGCTTTGCTGGCGCTGGGCGATCTGACAACCTCAGGAACCAACGAGCCATCTATCTTACTCCTGGTCTCCCAACCGAAGAACACGGATCGAGTCTCCCTCAAGGACATCATTGTGCAGATGTTCTCAGTTCCCGCGCATGCGAAGCCAGAGTCACGGTTGGACGAAAGTCAGCGCCTACTCCATCTACAAACATTCCACATCCCGGATGTGAGCGGCTTAGAGACCACCAATGGCAATGCTATGCAATGGAGTTTCCATTCTGGCTCGGCAGGCTTGAACCTTTCTTTCGAGAAGGGTTTCATCAACGTTGATCTCTCTCAATACTCTCCCTGTGTCACGTCACAATTTGTTCTTGATGATGAGGAATTCTCCTCGGTTATGCGCATTTCTCCCCAATCGGTGATTGGAGCACAACAATCTCTTGTGGCCGTATATGATACTCAATACCATTCTGTGCAACGCAGCATTCCGACCGGTGATCTTTTCTCAAGCGCTGGGTTGGCCCCAGAGACTCCCACAACCTTCATCAGCTACTTTGCCAAACTTGGCATTGCTGTCGCAACCAAGGGCAACACTCTTGTTGCTTTCGACTTGAGCTCTCTCCCCGGTGCCCCCAGCTCTTCGCTGAAACGGACTAGAGATAGCCTGCTCATCGATGCTATCGGCAGAGGTATTGGTTCATCCGGTGCACAGTGGGACATCGCATCGAAGAAGCACCGGTCTGACAACATGGCCTCCCTTCGGCTCACATCACCTGAAAAAGTTGAGAAATGGACTCAGCTCACGAAGACGGTGGAGAAGGCGACCAAGACAAAGAACATTGACTTGTTTGATAACGCTGTTCTGACGTACTTCAGCACTTCCGATGCCTCTACAACGCTCCCGATCCGCGGGCAGTATGTTAACCCTGAAGCAACTCTTTTCTTGCTCTCAAAAATCTTTGCAGTGGAGACGTCTGTCACAAATGATACAATTTCGGCATCCCCTTCATCTCAACTCCGTGTTGCCATGTGGCCTCCCACTACTTGCGACTGGCTCATTCGCTTAGGGCATCTGTCACTCGACAATGTTGAAATCGCCCTCCGCCGTGCATGCAAGCCACGCATTTTGCAGCCATTCCCCACCGGATCTTTCATTCAGGCCCTCCTCGATTCAGATCCCTCACTGAAGCAGGTCAACCAAGTGCTTGAAGGTCCCACTCTGATATCATCCGATGAGTTGGCTTACGCGCTTAGGGCCTTTTTGAATCAGGCACGTTCCCATTCTGGAACTCTTGAGGAGACCGCTCGCGCGATTACAAATGGTGATCTTGTCAGTCCTACTCAAGAACTTTCGAAACAGCGCGGGGCCAAAACAGCAACTCTCAAGGATATCTTCGCCGGTTTGAACACCTCCCTTCAAAAGATTCACTCGCAGCCCGTTTCCGTCGTCGTTCATTCCCTCCGCTCCTACCTCTCGCGGACTGAGCTCATTTCTATGATTCACCATCTCCGCCTTTCCCTCGCCACCGGAGGTTACACTTCTCGGTTCACTGAAAACCCCCCAACACCTATTACTCTCGACCAAATTACCCCCACCCTTTCTCTCAATGTTATCATTGATCTCATCGCCGCCTCCGTGGATGCCGTGGGTCCATCCGGTTGGATCTCTGCCATTCCCGCAGCGGGCGACTTTGAGGATTCAGACTCGGTCACTACCGCTGCTAGTCGTGAAATGGAATTGATCGCGGACATGAAGTCCGAAGTCTCGGCCGCGCTTGCAGGAGTCGAAGAGGCAACCTATCTCAAAGGTGTTTTGTGCGAGTACCTCCGCTTTGCGGACCAAGTTGACATTCCCACCACTACCTCGGAGGATGCCCTGGCCAACATGGATGCTGAGGTGGGTCCATCTCACCTGGTCCGCTACGAGAAACTCAATGGCGCCGATTTGATGGTCTTCGCCCGTCCCGGTGAGGGAGAGGATGGCTATGATGTTGACGCTGGTGGCAAGATGCTACCACTATCACTTAAGGCTACTTCCAACGACGTGTCCCGTACCAAGATCAAAAAATCCACGGGCGAGGTCAAGAACCGCACCAGCCGTGAGATTGGTTACTTGCGCCGCAAGGCAGTTGGCAAATACTCATTCGAGAGACTGATTATCTAAATCCCTTCCTGTGCATTTCATGTTTTTAACTGTACCATTCAATACTGAGGGAGACCATATCCTAGGAGTTAGACACGCACAATACATTACATGCATTCGGGTTCCCACACGGCTTTTCAATTATTTGTTTTTGTGCGAAGAAATATCTTGCCCTTGCGTATTTAAAAACAATATAACAATATTTGAACCAACCTCAGGAATTTGGAGAGTCAATTTGTTGGGATTGTTTTTGGTAGTTAGCGGTCGAGCCTTGCATTTGTATTAAAGTGGGACCGAGTACGGAGTAGTAGTGAAAACATTTCCTGTTAACAGACAATCTACGCTACAACACTACTTCTTATATCGGGCCTAATCTCATATCGTTTCAGCCAAGACAGGTTGATTTTACAAAAGAAACAATACAGAACTCAATGGGACTAGCTAACAGATAAGGCCTCGAAGAGACTGGGTTTGGCTTGAATCTGGGGGAAGGGGAAAGGGGGGAGGGGGTTCGAGATGGTTTGTTATCCAACATAGTCTTCCCCAGAATAAATCTAAGGGGGAAAACAGAGTGGAAACGAGGGTGAAAAATAAGAAATGATAGATTGGAATATCTAACTAAGATGATTCCTCTACACCATAGAATAGAAGCATATTGAACTTGGCGGAACCAAAAAAGGTAAACAAAAGATGATAAACAAGGGCGCCCTGGAGCTTTCCCAGATTAAGTGGGGATGCACTGGACTGCGCATCTCCGCACGGTGTGTTCTACCCACGGTTCTTCTCATCTTTTTATTAGCTCCGATCTATGCCTGTTCATGTGGGATGTTGATGTGAACTTGTTTTGATTTGACCCGGAACGCGTACCGGCATCATAACAAAAGGAAAATGAGCAACCAACCATGGCTTGACAGTCTGTCTGACGACTGGCCATCTCCAGCTTCGCCTAGCAGTCCTGTACCTATTATACCTGTTCTACCAGAGTCGCCTAAAAGCAGTCAGCAGGAAACACCTAGTCGCATTCCTCTGCCTGCGCGGCGTTCGTTAGAACCACAATCACCGGAAAACAACAAAAAGGACAAGGTGACCCGACCATGCCATTTCCATAGAAGAGAACCTCCGACTCCAAAAACGCCTCGAACATCCAAAATGCGCAAACCACGATCGCCTGCCCCGGGTAGTTTGAAATCGAGTGCTCCTAGGACTTACTCCAAAAGTCCCAAGTTCAGCCCGAAGCCTACCTCGGGCGCGGCTCGCAGGCATCCCTCAAAGGATACGCGCTCCCCTCTACGATCGGTGTCAAACGTCTCTAAAGCCTCCACGCAATCTGAGTTCGACGGTACAGTCCAGATCAAAACGAAGAAGGATAAGGACATAAAAGAGGATACACCAGAATGGCGTAGACGACTAGTGCGCGGGGAAATCGCCGGCGAGCAACGAGACCTGTTTGCGCCAATGGGACTTGAAAGCGTGTTCAAGCCGCCCACACCTGGTGCTGCCACAGCGCAACAAGGGTCTACTCCGTTTACGAAGCAGGAAGACCATCTGTGGGATTTCGCCGACACACCTTCGCGACAGGACGGAGACGAGCGTAACAGTCACGACGATGACCTCGAACGCATTGTCAATGAGGATGGAAGGGAAAGTGGCGACCGATCGCCGGAAAGACCTATCATTCGCGCCCTTTGGGGGACTAATGGGGGAATGGACGTGTATTGGGACCAGGAAGGGTTCTCGCAAGCGGGGAATACACAGCTACGGACAGCGAGTGGACTGGAGGATTTGCGTAACGAGGGTATCACACCCATCACCTTTACCCGGAACAATACTGTGGATGGCAATGGGACTGCAGAAGTCATCAAGTCTGCGCTGAAGCAGGTCACCAGCAAGTTGGAAAGCCTGTCTGTCGAACATGATAGTCGCCTGGATTCCCCTGCAAGCGATAGTTTCCTCTTTTACAACTACAGTGAACCTCACCCGGATGGGTCTCCACGAGATGACAGCTTGTTGGACGTGACAAGTCATTCTTTACCTCAAGATCTGTCGATGGGCACAGTGGACTTCAACAGTCGGCGAGGAAACCGCTCCTTCCCTCGCCGATTCTCCCCTTCGCCCTTTCCTTCGCATCGTATGTCCCCCGCAACACTCGCGAACTCCAAAGTCCGAAGTTCCCCCTTGTTCAACCCCCTACATAAGACCACGTCACCCGTTCTACCGCGTCCGTCCTCGTCTAATGTTCGCCCATCCACGGCTGGAGCTGAATATAAGCTCAAAATGCCATCATCAGGAAGTCCATTGAAGCTCTTCGGTGACCATGACACATTCACTAATAACAGACTTCTCCGACGTATGAGCCAATTTGAAGACAACTTCAGCGACACGTCAGAAGGAGAGGAGCCCCCTTCGCCTTCAGAAGAAGCGCGAAGAAAAGGCGAAAACCGCAGCTTCTTAAGCTCAAGACATGGGCCATTGCAGGAGATCTCTCCTAGACGAAATGAACGGCTTGGATCTCGCAATGCTGTACATCGAATCAGCCAATTTGGAGGTGGCGAATTAGACAAGTTTGATTTTTCGGACACCAGCCCTTACGAGCACAAACTAGTCTACGATGCGGCCGGAGGTTTTGGGTCCCGCCCCTCTTCACGCAAGCGATCGTCAACCCGGCAAAAATATCTCCGTGGCCCCTCACAGCAAGGGTTGTATCATTACAGCAGATCTGCAAGCTCGGGATTCACCCGGAAACCATCTGCCTGGCGCCAGGATTTCTTTGATGAAGCGCAGCATGGGACTCGCTCACATAACAAGGAAAACATGGCTCCCGATGTGAAGCGAGTACCCCGGGCCCCCGGCATGGACCCGACGCCCAAACGGCGCCGAACAATCATGAGAGATAATAGCGCTGAGCTCTTTCACAATGCCAGTGGAGGTTCGCCTCAGAAATACGGTGACAGCATGTCACTGTTGCAACGAAGTCTCTTGCAACATGGTGTACAGCTCGAAAATAGCGACTATCTTGCTCCTCCGGGCCTTTCTCAATCGAGACAGCGACCTCGAACACCCACACCGAGCCAAATCCGAACAGACGGGGAAAGCTATATTGGACCACACAGAGATTTCTCCGAATGCAATTTCGAAAACAACGATTATTCTGATTCTTTTTCCCTTGATGGCGATGTTCCACTAGTGAAGATTACTGGGACTAGTGATACCTCACGAAAAGGCTCTATCACCACTCAGGATTATTTAAACGAGGCCACCAAGATCATGGATCTCATCAGATCCAAAGGGCGAGGCGCGGCTGGTTTGACAAGCGTACATGAGTCTGACATGGAAAGTGAGGGCGACGACTTTAGCGACGACGATGAATCCACCCGGGAAGCCTTTTCTCGCCCTCCGAGCCGTGACGGAACGGATCTTCGCAAGTTGAGAGAGGCGAAGGAGTTGAACCCACTGATCTTGAGTCACCTACAAAAATACCAGGAGCAAGATGATCCCAATGACCGCGAAATGTCCCTGCATGCTCGTCAAGGCCAGGACGAGGGCCAAACCGAACTCGGTGAATCAAACTCACAGAGCATCCGAATTCGCGGACCGAGGAAACGAAAGACCAGTGGCATGAATGATGACACGGCGGAAAATATCGCCCAGGACCTAATGACTATCAACACACATATGTCTGGCTTCAGCGTCACCTCCGTACCCACAGGCTCTTCGCAAAGTTCCCAAGTCAAGGGTATGCTGGCTTCTGACCTTGTCGCCCACCTGATTCCAAATGAAGTTAACGGCTTCAAGTATGACCGTTTGAAGAATCAATGGGTGAGAGATGACGTGGAAGAACCAAAGGCGCCAATCTCCGAACCTGCCGAGGAGGCCGATGATCCATTCAGAGATATTCCAGATCTCAGTGTAGACGAGATCCAGGAGATGATGAGGGTCCATGGCCTCAATTCTCCTACAAAGAGCGATCTCCAAGCTGATCAAGAGCGCCTCAGGGCTCGCAGTTCCTTGCCTGCGAACGCATCGCCGAAGAAACCTGATGTTCGACCACACACGAGGGACGGAGATCTAACCCTCGGTGCAAGCTCGGTCCTTCCAAAACCCACCCGTTTCACGTCTAGTGCTCCTAACACTGGGACAAGAGCTACATCATGGGGCACGGACAAGGCCGAACCAATAAAAACCTCGGAGCAACGAAAATCTGAAGCCCAGCGCGAGGAGCCCTTGTCTTCAAAGAGCCCCCGATCCCCTGGAAAACAGGCACGTGTCGCGACAGTGAATCTATCATCACCCCTAGTTTCACGCCCCTCTTCTCGCGGAGAGCCTGATGACGACCAGTCCGACCCGAGCGCGAATCACGCCTACCGTGGGATTGTCTCAGAAGAAGATACTGTCCCAGCAGACCAAGAAAATGACTCAACACGGTCATTTGTCCCCCCCACGGGGCGTCAAACGTCAGTCGGTGGACGGCCATTCATTCGACGTCCCATCTCGAGGATTGACGAGAGGAACGAGGAAACTGTTGATGAAAAAAGCCTTATCCGCCGGAATGATTCTCTTCGTGTTCAAGAAACACCCGCCAGAACCCATGCAAGACATTTTTTGATGCCTCTCCAAAGCGCCGGGCCCGATACGAGCTACAGCTTCCACCTCAGTCCGCTTGCGGACTTCACCGTCAACCAAGGCGACAAACCCCTGAAGCTTGAAATGAGCTGTGTCGCTCAACGCACAAACCCTTCCTCTTTGCGAAAAGTGCGCGGGGCGTTCGCACTGGCAACTGAAGATTTGATCAAGCATATTACTGACGTGGAACCATATGAGCCTTATTGGGAAAACGTGCGCTGCCTTGTCTTGCGCCAGAAGCGATTGATTACGCTACACAAGCTGAACGAATTTTGCCCCCGACTAGAGGAGTTGGACGTTTCTGATAACGATATTGGTCAATTGAGCGGAGTTCCCTCAACCCTGAGAACCCTCAAGATCCCGAGAAACTGCCTTTCTAACCTGACTCCCTGGAGTCACATGATCAATCTGCAGTACTTGGACGTTTCAGGAAATGATATCGAGACGTTAGATGGCTTCGCGAGCTTGATCCATCTTAGGGAATTGAAGGCCAATGATAATCAGATCTGTAACATAGACGGGATTACTAGTCTGAATGGCTTGCTAAGCCTGAAGCTAAGCAACAATTCTATCACTGCAGTGGACTTTAAAGGGTCTGAGTTGACACGTCTTCGTGATCTCGACTTGAGCCACAACTGTCTCGCATCTGTTCGGAATGTCGAATGGCTTCCGTCACTTGCCACGCTCGATCTGAGCGCCAACCAGATCAGCCATTTTGACTCCTCTGCTCCCCTTATCAGTCTCCGTGCTCTGAAACTCTCTGAAAATCAGTTGGAGGCTTTTGATACGCGAACTTTCCCTTCTGTAAGCCTTCTCTACCTCGATCAAAATCATCTTTCTACTGTTCTTGGCCTTGAGAATTGTCACAATCTCGAAGTACTGTCTCTCCGAGAGCAGGCATCATCCAAAGAAAAGGGCCTTGATCACAGGGTGAATATTGATTTGGGACTTGTCAAGGATGTTCGCAAAGTCTTTTTGTCCTCCAACAAGCTTTCCCCCCAAACTGTCTGCCCGTCTGCTCCGCTATTACGCCTTCAACTTCTTGATGTAGCTGCGTGCACACTGAAAAGTCTCCCAGGTGACTTTGCCTTGAGCTTTCCGAATCTGAAGGTCCTCAATCTGAATTTCAACTCGGTGGATGATGTTGAGCCACTAGTTGGAATGAACTGTCTTGCCAGACTGATGATCGTCGGCAACCGTCTCTCAAGGATGAGAAGGGTCTGTCAAATCCTCAGTCGTCTAGGAAAAACCGGAAAAGGAACTGCATGCTCCCTACGCAAGCTTGATCTTCGTGGCAACCCATTGAACGTTGGCTTTTACCCTCCAGCCGTGACTGGGAGTGGTAATGCCGATCTCAAGAAATTGAAGTCTCAAGAACAAGCAGTCGTCCGGCACCAAGGAACTCACCGGGATCTATCTGATGCTCTGGCTGAGATCGGAAATGATGACCAGATCTCTCACCGCGACATGGGTGATGAGCCGAAGACTGACAGAGACATCGAAATCGACGACCCATACACTCTTCCGCTCGCCGATCCGCAAGCGGATCTGAAGTACCTAAGGCACCTCGATCAAGCCACACGGCTCCGCCGAAGAGTGCTAGAGCTCTTACTCTATGCCGGCACGAGTGGTTCTCTCCACACCCTCGACGGACTGGACCTGCGGCCCTCGCTGGGCGATGATTCATCTGACATGAACAAAGCGTGGGATAGATTGGAACATCTTGGTGTTTTGCGTAGGAAGGCGCTCAAAAACTAGGCTCTATTATTGGTAATTTTTCTATCGATCCTTTGAAAGCTGTTTCCACAAAGCGAGGAACGCTTATGGTTTGTTTGAGCATTGTTGGCGGCGTGTATGGAGTTTTATTGGTCCTTGAGTTGGAATCGACCACGCTTGGTTATTCTAGTTTGCACAGCATTAGCGCATTATCGGAGTTGGATATCAAATCGAGTCTGGTTTTTTGGCATCTTCGATCATAGCTAAGCTACTTGGGCTTTTCGTCTTGCTCGTGGTAGAGTGAGATGAGATGGTGCCTCATTTTCTGGCCTCTCTCCGAAACAGGAGTACTGATCCTTTTCTTACCCACTCCCACGAGTCGATCACGATTTCTGCTCTGAATTGTAGCCAGGTTTACTTTTTGTCTTGTAAATTATTCCAGGATAAAGGATCTAGGACAAGGCTTCCCGATTAAGATCTTTGGTGTCTCTGTGCGATTGACATAGACCTCAAGGTAGAGGATACAAATAGCCCAAAGAGCGCGAGGCTTTCCATGTATCTTAATGTGGACAATGTGTCTGCTTTTGGATTACTGCCAATCAACATCCACTATGTCTTGCTTGATAAGTGGAAGGAAAGCAGTCTAATAAGAACGGTTGAATGGGTATCGAATTTGAATCAAATTAAAAACAAATAGAGTGCAATGTCATCAAGAGAGCCAAGCCAAGCAACGTTGACATGAGAGCGATTAGAGCTCTGATGGCTAAATCTCCCGAACAGTTGCCGTAGGAGACACCTTCGAGCTTCCATCTACCCGATGCCGATCTTCGAACTGATCTGTAGACACTGAAGGACCAGCCCCTTTACTGGCCCCGACATCTTCTTCTAACGTAGCGCGAAATTCCTCGCGCTTGGGTAGGAGGTACCGCACATCCACAAATCTCAATATGCTCGTCATGAGAATCACTAGCACTAACAAGGCCAATGCTGACTGCCACCCATATTTATACAATGGTGCTTGACTTGCCGGCCAGACGAGAACCTGTGACCACGAAGAGATGGCGTAGTACCCAGCCACAGCAACACCAACAGCAAGAGACCGTACCTCTGGATCCTGCGGGATAAGATCGGAGAGCCAGGCGAAGATCAACGGCGCTGTGCCAAGACAAATATACGAGATGAAATATGATGCATAGGCAGCAGACACAGCCACCGACGCTGGGCGTGTAGTCCAAATGCTCATGATGATACACGGAACAATCCCAATAACCGCTTGAAGAACAATGAGTGTCCAACGCGTCTCAAAGTAATCCGACAAAAGAGCCCAGATCCAAACAAACACGACGTTGATCGCAGATCCTCCAATGGGGATCACGTTGACCTGCGAGATAGTCCATCTCGCGCTGCCGTCGGGGTTCTTGAGTGACTTCAGGAACAGCCCGAAATACACATATCCGTATGTGCCAAGAACCGTCGCAGTGTACAGAGCCGCAATGAAGTACACAACCCATCCTGAAAACGTGCGCTTCACGCCGGCCCAGGTCATCTTCTTTGGCTCGGCGCGGCCGTTGCGCGCGAGACGCTCTAGCGAAAGCTTGCCGTGGACTTTCTTGAACCAGAACGCGTGCGGGTTAGGTCGGTTCGGTAGATCGGGGAGCATGAAAAACCCCGCGAATCCCCAGACTACCGTGATGATTGCGTTGATCACGAATAGCCAGCGCCATCCTGCTATTCCGCTGTGTCCGTCGAGAGTGTTGGTGATTGCGGCTTGCAAGGCGCCCGAGAGCATTTGGCCGACTGCTTGGCAGGAGTGGTAGAATCCCATTCGTTTGGCCAATTCGGTTGGGGTATACCAATACACTGGAGGGTCGGTTAGTTGGATGAGACAAGGGCAAGGCTTTGGAAGAATCTACTGAATAAGGTCATCATCCCTGGCCAAGCGCTACTTTCGCAAAGACCGAGGAATACACGGATGATGTAGACTTGCTTCGCGCTCGTCGCCACCGCGACCAGTCCGGTCAGAGCACCCCATGCAATCTCCAACCCCGGGAGCCAATAGCTTGGGCGTACGTAGGTAAGGATGATTTGGGAAGGGAGAAGCATGATGCAGTAGGCGACGTTAAAATATGTTGTGAATCTAGACAGTGATCAGCTATCATCGGCTCTGCAGTAGGGTGAAGGTTTCGGACCACTCACAGATTGAGCTCATTTCCGATCAGGTTTAAGTCTTCTTTCATTCCCGACACGTAGGCATTGTTGATATTCTGTTGATCGAGATATTTGATAACTGACGGAAATCAGTTTTGCTGATCTCGAGCTATGAGGAGGGGAATCTGTAGCCCCACGCACCCTGTGAAAGACAGCCGAAAGTCATCAGGAACATGTCAAGATGCCGGACCAAGGCCTTCTCCTCTGGCGGTCGGAGATCGATGTTTGTCCACGCCTTGCGACGAACCATTTTGAACGACACCATAGTTGTCGTGGTGTGACGGGGAGGAGAGCAAAAGCCAGCAGTCTAGCGAACCTGGCCATTCCCATAGGCCCATGCAGGCCCGAGCTGTGATAAGGCCCCTGTGACCCCTAGATAGGTCCAATAATGTGTCCAGGGTAGACTTCAGATTGTACGGAGTAAATCTGACGACGATGTTTCTGCAAGGTGCACGCGTGATAAGCCTTCAACGCACCAATGGTATTTCTCCATTTGGGGTCACATCGAAGGAATGCCCCAATGGCTGAGATACCAGACACCAGGCATCTGGGCGTTGAATCGACTCTACTCAAGTATACACCGAGGTTGGCTTAACGAGTGGATCTGAAGATCAGTTGATTTGGGGGAGAATCCTATGAGAAGAGTTGAGATGAATCCTGGCAATCCCTGGTCTTCCCCGCACCCCGGTGCAGACGGTGAATGCAAGAGTCTCTCTCTCTCTCTCTCTCTCTCTCTCTTTTCAAGTTTTATTAAGATACAGGATTTGTGGAAACCTGAGCTAATTACAAATCGTCTGAACTGTTAGTTTCCAATCTTGAGATAAGCAGAAGCTTGCCAACTCCCACGCCTTGTTTGAGTGACTGGTAGCGACCATTGAAACGATAGTCTCAACTCGGAATCCGGCGTTGTGAGATACGGTACTTCTGGCACTTTGACGGCTTTCAAGCGGATGGAAGGGGGGAAGGGCACAGCTGAGGACATAGGATTCTCGAGACACAGCTCACAGAATGCCGGTTATGTGCGACCAGGTCTCTTCTTGCACCGCTCCGAAGTGATTTATGTTATTTCCAACATGACAGTCTCTAGTCATCTGTATGACTGATTTGAAGCCCTGAACGTGGCCCTATAAACCTCTTACTCCCCCTATCAGTTTTTCATGTTAAACCCAGGTTGCTTCCCGAAGACTCGCAACGCTCAGCGATCGCTTCTTGAACAAA